AACATACTCTAATCCTCGCCCTCGAATAGATTCAAAACCGCGCAGCTCGTTTTGTATTTTCTAACTACTCCCGCTATTCTAGCGTAACTGCAATGAAGATGTCGCTAAACTTGCCCGATCTGTCGTTGCGTCGTAAATGTTCTCGGCTTTCACTTTTTCACAAAATATTTCATCACAACCACATTTTAAAAGATCAGCCTTTCACAAACCCCTCCTACATTTCATCCCGTTTGGATCATGGTTTAAAAGTTGGTGTGCCATCTAGTCGAACTAATCTTTATTATGACTCTTTCATTCCACGAACAAGCAGGGACTGGAACCACCTTCCCGCCGCCATCGCCTCCATCACAGATGTAAATAACTTCAAGGTCATCACCCACCAAGAAGTGCTTTTAATGTATTGTTGCTCGTTTTAGTTGTGAAACCCCACTCCTTTCTGTAATGCCCTCGGGCCCTGAAAGTAAATAAATGAAATGAAATGAAATGAAAACGTGACGGCCATGGCTGCCAGAGCAGAAAGAGAATAGGGGTCATTGGCAGGGCCGTCCCAGTCGTACGACTTGGAAATGTGGAGATGCAACCACGTACGCACATACCTATGGCCATTCCCACAAGAAAAAAAAATGTCCTAGATCACCTTTCTTGGGCAAGAATACAGAAAACTAGCTAAACGAGAAAACTGAAATAAATAAACAACCGATAATCTAACCACGGATTGTCACCACAGCTGCGGAAGGAAGGAAAAACGTAATCCGTGAACTCGGCACGAGCGGCTACACAGAGGCATTTATTCGCAGAAAACTGTGTATAAGAAAAGACACGGGAAACACGACACCAATGGCGCCGCAACCACGCCGCATGTCGACCCAACTTGAGCGCAGGGAACATCGAACGGAGCACAATGGCAAAACAATGCGACACCACTCGCAACATGTTTGCCCCATACCAGTCCCGAAGGAACGGTGTAAAGCTCGTTACGTTTTGTAGTCTTTCTGCATTCCTTGAAGAGCACAAAGAGCGCGAAAGATTGGGTACGAGAAACTTGAGAGTGAAAAACGACTTTGCCACTACGCCTTTTGCAGTGTGGACTGGGAAAACGCAATGATGGGTGAGGGACGACAGGAAGTTCTTTCGCGCTTCAAAGATGACTATGAGTGGAAAAGTGTTTATATGAGAACGAAAAAAATCTACAAAAACAAGGGCATCGCTATGTTGTGTCGGTACAACAGAACTGCATGCCGTTTGGAAAAAAATGGCAGCAATATCTCATAAAGAGACTCGAGAAATAAAAGCCTCTCTGATGGCCGAGAGGCAAAAGAATTCTTCGACCACATTTCAGCTTGAATAAATTTATTTCCGCGAGTGATAAATAATCACGTACGGCATGAACGGTGCGTTTCTGCCTCCTTCCTTCTTGAAATGTGGCCGCGAGAATTTTCATGGTACCCTAAATTACGCAGCCGATGTTTGATTGGTAGCACATGACATGACAAAAGCCCATGGTCTCTGTCATTGTACATTTTAACAAAACTTGAAATCCAGCCAGATGGCGCACTGCTATCGGGAAATTTTTAGCGCAAACTAATGCTTCCTTACGACGTTCACAAGCACCCATCCTGTCTCTTTCGTTCTTCTTAACGTCTTGTTTAGGGCTCACAGATTTCCGAATCGCCACATTTATTCAAGTGAAAAAACTGAAGTGACATCTGAGGGCACAAGCAGTTCAACGCAATAAAGAGAGAGAGAACGGGTGCTCGATTGCTCACGAATCGTGCTGCTTTCTCGTCTTTGAAGACACATGAATAATCAATCTGGAGCTTAGCACTTATTCTCCGTTGATTAGGTACATAATCATAGATCAAGCTCAGCGTAAATTCCTTTGTAACGTAATAAAGGTGACCTGGAGTGGCACATGTGTCACAACAAGCTGCAGAACCTATTCCATGCCTTCTTACCGTCATGCTCATTTAATACAAACGTTTGTAGATTGTATTACAGAAACAACATTAAAAGACCAAGAAATATTTAGTTCCTCCGTTCGTTAGTAACGCACTTCGTTATGTATTCTTCTGTTCTCTGGGAGCAGATCACGTGAGTTTTGTAGCATGAATTAACATAAGAAGCTGTTTCTATTTCACCACAGTCAGCGAATGGTGTACTCTATACAAACACATCTCCTACATTAAACTTCGTGCCAACACAATGCATACAATCCTCAATAACATCGCCAGAAAATATGGGTTTCACGGAAAGAGTTTGCTAGTGCTTCGTTATATATTAAAACGTCAAATTTAAAAATAGCACCACCATGAACGGGATCAACTCCATGGCCAAATTTCACTGCAAGAAGCGCTCGAATAACTGCACGTTCAGGTATGCAATAGACATTGCATGAGGTTTTAGGGGTGTGGTGACATCATTAGTTCAGGTTACATAGTTGTAGCGTAGAATTAGCTTTTTAGTCACGTTTACTATGCTTTTTAATGTTAATATTTCACCTCATCGGTCATTTAGTGACGGTAATTTAATTTCAACATCCTTAAATGAGAGTTATGAATAATTGATATCCAAGCATTTTTTAAAGATATATGGCTGGTGTTTATCAAAGGACCTAGAATGAGTTCCGGGGAGGGAGAGATATGAACAGTTTTATCATTTGAAAAATAAAGTTTTTTGCTTTACACGCCGGAAGGTCAATACGACAACAAGGCACGCCATAGTAGGAGGTTTTAAATATTCGGAACCATAGGTCGGCAAAATAAATGGAGCCTGTATAGACTCGCTCAGTAAATGTGCTTTTACTTTAGGACTCGATATAGGGCTCAGCCTATAGCCGGTATTTTGGTCACATGTATAATGACCAAAACATTTTTCTCTGCAAAACATTTTCGCAATAAACTGCTTTCATGGAGTAAATCAGCCCGACATTTTTTCGAATACACCTGAGGTAGTCACCAAAACGCCTTGGTCGTTTGGCGTGGAATGACCGATCAAACTTTACGTCGATACCATCACTTTTCGTCTCCACTGTCTCTTTCCAAGGTCGTGTACTTGCTTTCTTGACATTCAACTTCACAGTAATTTAACAAATCCGCATTACATTGGTTCTATAGAAGAAAATAGCTTGTGGTATACGCATCTTAAATAAAACTTGGCCGTGTACTTACGCCCCAGCTCACTGTTTTGTATCAATCATTTCTCCGTTCTCATCTCACCATATTGCCACGTGGTTGTGGCAATATGCCTGCAACAATCGGCCTTTTCTTTTTCCTTCAGCACCTTCAATCGAACACGTAGAAATCGGTACTGTTGGTCCTAGCAACCGAAATGGCCCGACGTGCACCGGTAGGCAATCACAGAGGCCTACGGAGGCCTATATTGGTGCCTTTTTATTGGGGAGGGGGGTATGTGGAGATATGTCGTGGGGAGGAGGGGGGGGGGGCACTTGCAAGTTTTTGACACCAGATGTGGCTTGCAGACGCGTAAGTCTAGAAAAATCACAAAGGGGGACACACATCTTGCAATAGCAGCCATTTTGTTTTAATATTTTGCAGGTTTTATTTTTGTTTATATAGGAATGAAATCATGCCTAGAAATCAAATAGACAAACGAACGTAGGTTCCCACGCTCGTAATTGCATTCTTCTATTGAGTCTTTTCCGGAACCAGTCGAGAGTGGCATTTGTGATTTCAAATGTCTCACACACCTGATGGGTGTTGAGCACGTGAACACGCAACAAAAAAAGCATTAAAAAGTTGAATCTTTTATACATACTTATCAAGCATTCTTATTTGTGACGTCTTTAAGAGAAATTTTAATGGTGCCCACTTGCAAGGGGTGTTCCCCTCCCCTGACCGTGCACAAACGGGTCGGGGTGTCAACGTTCTGTGCAGGCGTGGTCAACCGGCCTCCAGGTCGTGACCAGTGTGGACTGTGTATCTGAGCAAATATTGAATTTCCTATCATCTGCACATATGGCCATCGACAGGTTTTTGTCTTCGGGGTAAACAAACTTTTCTTTCAACTTGCATCATGGCTGAGGGAGGGCGTCGTGTTGGCGTCGCTAGAGTGGGTAGCAAGTGCTGGTGCGGCTTGAAGGGGTCAAGTGCCCCTTTTGCACCACCCGCCTCGCCCACGCCCATGTCTACACTTCATTCATTGAACACTGCGGTGAAGACTAGTTGACTAAATGCGCAGATTTGTTTTCTTCCGCATCTTACACCGCTACATAAATTATTCTCATATTGTGAAAAGTAGGTATTTCGATTCGTTTGAAACTCAAAAGAGCGGTTTTCTGCAACCGCAATACGAAAACTCGTAGCAGAGGTGCTTCTTTTTTCGTGCAGCGTGACATGTAAAAGTGAGATCTGATTAGGAAAAAGCGAACTGAGTGACGTGCGTCGGTGCTTGCTCAATGTTCAATGAAGGAAAGTTTCATGAAGTATGACGTAGCCAACAAAAGAAACAAACTGCTGCATCCTGAATAAAAAAAGAGAAGCAAAGTGCTGCACATTCGTGGTAGAACATGGACATATACTAAAATACGCGTATTGTATTATGAAAGCGAAATAAAAACTATTTTTTACAAAACGCTTTGCATTCATCATGATGTCGACACATCTGTGTAGTGTCATTAGTGCTATTTGGATGAAAATCCCTGAATTTCAACTAATTTAGTAACCTGTGGCAGAACAACCTTTTGAATTTTTAGTTTCGGTTTCCGTGCCGCCGGCGCCGCCGCTGCCGACGAAAATTGGCCGCACGCCACCGCCGATGAAATAACCGGCGTGCGCCGACGCCGCCGCCGCCGCCGACTCTGAACGACCCCCACGCCACCGCCGGTCTAAATCGCCTCGGCGCACACCTTTATTAAAACCTAGGCAATGCCCACAATGTTGCCAGCAAAAAATTGATGCACAATGTTGCGCATCATAGAGTTTCTCAATATTCGCAATGCACATGAACTATAGGTGGCGCGCGTGGGGATTCAAGATGGAGGACCGAGAGATGAACAACCATGTGTGATCAACTTGTTCACTGCACGTAGCACGGAGTACCTTTCCTTTCTCCGTGCTACGTAGCGTGTCGTAGCAGGCCAGCCTTTTGTAGTCTCTGTCAGAGTTGATTCTGAACGGCTGTAAAATGCCGCTGCCTTTTACAAAGCAGCTATCACTAGCGAATAATATGGCACACCTCGAAGCTTCTGAAGAAAGGATTCGGTGTATCATCGAGGGAGAAGAGGTTTAGAACGCCGGCCACCTTATTTGTTGTGGCGTCAAAGCATGCAACATTGACGCCGTTGCCATTCAAGGACTCTGCCTGCAAACGTCCCATGTTCGAGGGAAGCCTCATGAGCTGGAGTTCGTTTTTGACGTGAACAGTCGCATCAAGGTACGCACTACGTGTTCTTTATGCGGTCACAGTGGCTGCGCATATGTCTACACCGAACCGTCACTTACCCTATGTAAATATCGATGATTAGCATGTTCAATAAGTAATGCGTACGTGCTCGACATCGTGCCGTCAAGAACAAGAAGTGCGTCCGCGCTTATCTTACTGCACAGTATATGAAAACGACTATATGGCTGTGTGCGTTTTCGGAGTAGGCCAGAAAGAGTACGCTGTTCTCGTTCGCATATTGGATTATGATTGAAGGTAGTTAGTGCATGATATAAGATAGAGATTAGATAGCTAGTGACGGCGCGGAGCTGCGGACCCTGCTACGTTCGTATGCAATGAGCCTGTGAGGTGAAGGACGTGCGCTTCAGCGTGCCGCGCATAAAATTTGCTTACTCTGTTTCGCCTGCCTCAGCAACGAAAACAAAGCAAGATGCTTGGGGCGGGGTTGAAAGCACTGTCGTACAACCTATGTTACGTGGGTTACAAAAAAAAAACGCCGCGAATAGCCGAAGCTCAAGCAATAATCGGTGTACGTTACGGTGAAAACTTATAATGTAATGTGCCCTTGGTATTCCGTTGAGTATGAAACAGGCTGTACCTTGCTATTTTTTCCTGCATTGTGAGCTGCACTTCCATACTTTAAAATTTTATTGTATTTTTGGCAAACTATCAAACACTCAAAATTCATGCACAGCGGCGATAAACTGTGTGTATGATGCCAATGATCAAGCAGTGTTCTTAACTGAATTTTAGGCCACTATAGTTATGGCGCTCCTAAATAATGAAATGTTACCCAAAGCAATCAAATTTTTTGTTGTAAACAAAACCGCAGTAGTAGGAATACCTAAAATCAGTTTCCAGATTTTATGATTTTATAACTGATCCAATTAAAGCATTTTTAGGTAAACTTTGGGTGGTTATGGTGCATGTGAGGATATGGTGGACCAAGTTTGACAGTTGCCAGCTGCCATCTGGAAGCAGCTTTCCTTTCTGAGCCTAGGTGACTAACACAGTAGTGCAATCTTTATTTAGAAGAAGTGCTACCATGTTCTCAAAGGTGGCTTATGTGCATAACCTACTTTCTTCTGCAGGGCCACTGCTCCTGCAAGGCCGGAAACTCTGAGCGTTGCAAACATATTGTTGCGGGTTCGCGGCTATGCAGCTATGCGGGCGGTGCGAAGAAGAAGACGACGACGTTTTGGGCTGTTCGAATATACACAACGGCTGCCATCTTGACTGCTGGAGTACTTTTCTACTCTAAAGTAGTAAATACATTCGCAACATTTTGGTGGAGGTGCTGGGTACGACGCAAGACGGAACTTCGAAGCGGACGTGTTCTCGACTGCCCGACCATGGCAACAGAAACCAATTCTGCCGCTCCTGTTTCAGCCGCGACTCCGGCGCAGCCTGTACAGCCGGTCGTATTGACGCAACCGCGCGACCCTGGCAACTTCTGCGGCACCGACCATGTTGACGTTGACGACTGGATTCCGAAGTTCGAGCGGTTTGCAGCAGTGTACCGGTGGGATCCTACGATGATGCTCGCCAACGTTGGCTTCTATCTCTGCGGAACAGCTGGCGCGTGGTTCGAGGCTCATGAAGCGGACATAACCAGCTGGGATACTTGCAAACAGAAGCTTCGTGACCTGTTTGGTAAGGCCGTCGGACGCCAGCGGGCCGCTTCTAAAGAACTCTCTGGTCGGGCACAAACTACGACCGAATCATATGTCACCTACATCCTTGACGTTCTCGCCCTTTGCCATCGTGCCGACCCCAACATGTCCGAGGAAGACAAAGTAAGCCATTTACTTAAAGGCATTGCAGATGATGCTTTTAACATACTGGTTTCCAAAGACTGTTCCACCATTGATGACATCATCAAAGAGTGCCGCCGATTCGAAGAGCTGAAGAGTCGCCGGGTCGCCAAGAATTTCTTGCGTCTTCCGAACACGGCCGCTACGTCATCTTGCGAGGACCTTCAGCCGCCATGCAGTCAACCACATAACAACGAGAGTGTGGTTCGCATCGTTCGTAGAGAAATCGAGGCCGCGTCTCCGTCTTTTCTGACCCGCCCATCTGATGATCGACCAACGATCTCGTTGATCCAACAGGTCGTGAGAGAGGAACTGGCAAACGTTGGGCTGCAGCCTGTATGTTCGTTGACGGAACCTCGGGTCAGTACCATAGCGCCTTCTCCTGCACCAGAAAGATTCCGCCGCTATCGTGATCCTGCTCAGTGGAGGACACAGGACGACAAGCCTATATGTTTTCATTGTCATGGTGTAGGACACATCTCCCGCTACTGTCGTTTCCGCACGTATCCACCTCGGTCGTTTCCTGGCTATCGACGTGACGACAACCACCGGCCCCTGCAGTACAGCGCTCGTGACGATGGACCGTACAATGGCACTCCTGCGACGCCAGTCCGCCGGTCCAGCCGTTCGCCGTCCCCGCATGACCGTCGCTCCAGGTCACCTCAGCACCGCCGCTATTCGTCGCCCCACCCTAGTGGACGCCCTTCTTCGGAAAACTGAGCAATGCAGCTCCCGGAGGTGACGCTGCATTGGACTCCCGACCTGAAAACCCTCTGCTGACCTTGACTACGGACAAAACCTGCTTGATGTAGAAGTGGATGGCCTTCCTGTTACTGCCCTTATTGACACCGGCGCACATATTTCAATTCTGAGCTCTGACCTCCGTGCGCGATTAAACAAGGTCCTTACGCCGCCAGAGTCCCTATTTGTACGTGTCGCTAGTGGAGCGACCCCGGCTGTGCTCGGAATGTGCACCGCGCGTGTGAGATTCGCCGACCGCCAGACGTCCGTTCTATTCCATGTTCTCGCTCACTGTCCACATGACGTCATCCTTGGACTCGATTTTTTGTCCGACCACTCCGCTGTAATTGACTGCTCAGCCGGCGTCGTGCAACTTGACTTGCCTGCGGCCACCGAAGAGTCGAAGATGGTACAGAACAAGCTTTCGTGCGCTGAGTTTGTTCGCCTCCCACCCCAAGCCCTAACTTGTGTCACAGTTGAACCATATCCCAGTGTTCCGGATGGGGATTACGTGGTCTTTCCCTCTCCTGGTGTTTTACTGGCCCGCAACGTTTCCTCCCCGTACACCATATTAACTGTCACAGCGAACAAGACGTGCCTTCCTCTTCTGAACTTCGGACTCAGCCCTCAAATCCTACCACAAGGCATTGTTCTCGCCACTCTTTCACCGTCACACGAGTGCCAGATCTCATCAGTGTCACGTGAACTGGCCACAGTCGCCTCGCCGAACCCGCATAGCACCGACGCAGCCAACTCTACACGGCTCAACAATGTAACTAAGATGATTGCCTCAGACCTGTTGCCGTCTCAGGTCAAAGACCTCACTGATCTTCTCACGAGCTATTCGGACATATTTGACTTTGACGGTAGGCCCATAGGTCAAACATCGCAAGTCAAACATCGCATTAATACCGGTGATGCAGCTCCAATTCACAGGCGTCCCTATCGAGTGTCACCATCAGAGCGCCAAGTTATCCAACAGGAGGTGAATAAGATGCTCACAAAAGGCATCATAGAGCCCTCATCGAGTCCGTGGGCGTCCCCTGTAGTCTTAGTTAAAAAGAAGGACAATACCTGGCGTTTCTGCGTGGACTATCGGCATTTAAACAAGGTCACCAAAAGGGATGTCTACCCGTTACCTCGTATTGATGATGCCCTGGACTGCCTTCATGGCGCAACCTATTTTTCTTCGATAGACTTACGCTCCGGTTACTGGCAGATCGCCGTGGACGACCTCGACCGGGAGAAGACCGCCTTTGTAACGCCCGACGGTCTCTACCAATTCAAGGTAATGCCGTTTGGCTTGTGCAATGCGCCGGCAACGTTCGAGCGGATGATGGACACGCTTTTGCGCAGCTTTAAATGGTCTATCTGCCTGTGTTATCTGGACGACGTGATTGTGTTTGCCCCAACCTTTAAGTCTCACCTCGAGCGCCTTTCCTCAATTCTTTCAGTATTTCGAGAGGCTGGGCTCCAACTTAATTCTTCGAAATGCCATTTTGGGCATCGCCAAGTTACTATTCTAGGGCATCTCGTTGACTCCTCCGGCATCCGCCCCGATCCCGACAAAGTCCGAGCTGTCCTGGATTTTCCTGTACCGACTTGTGTCAAGGACGTTCGAAGTTTTGTGGGCCTATGCTCATATTTCCGACGATTTGTCAGAAACTTCGCAGAGGTCGCACGCCCCCTCACTGATCTTTTGAAGAAAGATGTACCATTTGAGTGGGGTCCTGATCAAGGCACGGCCTTTTCCCAGCTCATAACACTTCTGACCACGCCACCGATTCTCGCCCACTTCGACCCGTCTGCTCCAACCGAGGTCCGCACTGATGCTAGTGGCTACGGTATTGGCGCGGTTTTAGCCCAGCGTCAATCCGGTCACGATCGAGTTCTTGCGTATGCCAGCCGGCTCCTTTCTCCTGCCGAACGCAATTACTCTATTACGGAACGCGAGTGCCTGGCGCTTGTATGGGCAGTTGGTAAATTCCGCCCCTATTTATATGGCCGGCCTTTCACAGTTACCACTGACCATCACGCTCTATGCTGGCTTTCAGCCCTCAAAGATCCAACGGGGCGCCTTGCTCGTTGGGCTCTGCGCCTCCAGGAATTCACATACACAGTGGTTTACAAGTCTGGCCGTTTACACCAAGACGCCGACTGCCTCTCCCGGTACCCCGTTGACGCTCCAGATCTAGTAACCGACGACGCGTCCATCTGTATTTCCTCGCTCTCTGCTTTCGGCAACATGGGATGTGAGCAACGGCGTGACGCGTCCCTACGCGAGCTAATCGACCGCCTGAACACAGGCTGTACAGACAGTTCGCTTCGCATGTTCGTTGTCATAGACGGCATTTTATACCGCCGCAACATGCACCATGTGGGAAACGAACTACTACTCGTAATACCCACTCATTTGCACTCGACCGTACTTCAGCAACTACATGATGTACCAACGGCTGGCCACCTTGGTGTTGCCAGAACGTACGACCGTGTCCGCCGACGCTTCTTCTGGCCCGGCCTCTACCGTTCTGTACAACGTTATGTTAGGTCTTGTGAGTCGTGCCAACGCCGCAAAAGGCCAGCGGTACACCCCGCCGGCCTCCTTCAACCGATCGACGTACCTGCCGAGCCTTTCTATCGTGTCGGCCTCGACCTGCTGGGCCCTTTCCCTCTTTCTACCGACGGTAACAGGTGGGTCGCCGTCGCCATAGATTACTCGACCCGTTTCGCAATTACGAGACCTCTTCCAAGCAGCTGCGCTACAGATGTCGCCGACTTTTTGATTCAAGACGTCATCTTACATCATGGTGCTCCTCGTCAACTGGTCACCGATCGCGGTCGCTACTTTTTATCTAAGGTAATTGACGATCTACTTCGTTCTTGTGCAACCAAGCACAAGCTTACGACGGCCTACCATCCTCAAACAAACGGCCTCACAGAACGTCTGAATCGCACACTCACTGACATGCTCGCCATGTACGTGTCGACGGATCATCGTGACTGGGACATTGCGCTACCCTTTGTCACTTTCGCTTACAATAGCTCACGCCACGACACTGCTGGATATTCTCCCTTTTACCTTTTGTATGGAAGAGACCCGACATTGCCGTTCGACACGCTTGTACCCAACCCTGCCGACCTGTCCACAGCATATGCTCGCCGCACTATTAGCACCGCGGAGAAAGCCCGTCAGATTGCCCACCAGCGCCTTTCGGACTCGCAGCTCCGTCAGAAACGTAGCTATGACAGCCACCATCGGGACATCCACTTTAGTCCAGGTGACCTCGTTCTTCTGTGGACTCCGTCGCGACATGTTGGTCTGGCTGAAAAGCTTCTACCCAAGTATTCCGGACCTTATCGTGTGCTACGGCAGGTAACTGATGTTACCTATGAAATAGCACCTCTAAACCCTTCGATACCTTCCACATCTTCCGACATCGTCCACGTCGCTCGCCTCAAGCCGTACATCTCGTCCAACACCTGCTAACAAGCGCCGGGTCGGCGCTTTTCGCCGCCGGAGGTCGATGTTGCGGGTTCGCGGCTATGCAGCTATGCGGGCGGTGCGAAGAAGAAGACGACGACG